AAGTGACACTCAAATCCAGGATTCTGCACGTAGCATTTGTTAAAGACTTACAGCCAGGTCTGCAGATCCTTACACGTAGATTACGGCACCAGACTCCTGTGGTTTCAACAACATGCACTTAAAGGGCTCTGTAATAAGGATAGACTGAATGGAGAAGGGGTGGGGACAACATTCTAAGATCATTTCCAAGGTCAAAACTTACGGAGAAGCTCATGAGCTACAGCAAATGCATGAAGGGTTGTCTGGGTGGGTCTCTGTTGTTAAGGGTTAAGGAAAGAGAAGTATTTTTCTTGTTTAACAACCGTTCACTCCTGAAGCTTACCCAATCAGGAGCCTAAAAATGTAAGATGAGCTGAAGTCCTTTCATCGTCACAGAAATGACTTAAGATATATGCAAAGATTTTAATAAAGTCAACTGTAAGACGAAAGTAAAACTAAGCACAATTACATATCGATGCGATCTTTTAACTGGAAAATCCCGCAGAGGCTAGAAATATAGCTCAGTTAAATAGCATTGCCCAGTGTGTGCCCTGAGCTTGATCCCCAGCACAAGGAAAAATAGGAAAGGAAGAAGGGGAAGAGAAATAGAGGTGGATGGGAGGAAGAAGGAAGGAAGGAAATAAAAGGGAAGAGAAGAAAGCAGGAAGGGGAAGGCGGGAAAGGAGAGCAGAGGAGAAAGGGAAGGTTCTCCTCCCCAAAATACTGGTCCTAATTCCATTTTCACCGATATGGTAAATATGATGTTCATCAGTGGACTAAAACTAAGAATCCTAGGTTACAGTTAAAAGGCATCAGTGTAGGCTGCATGCAAGAGTCTCAGAATAACAAGAAATGTATCGCAGTGGTCGAGTTCCCATACCCACCTTTCAACACCTTCCACCAGCTGAGTGTACTCACCACAGTCAATGGACCATTTTGACACTTTGTTACAATTAGATAAAATTACAGGGATCACTGTTCTCTATTAGCTCCTGCATTGGATCCAAACAGGACAGGTTAAAAATAAAAAAACGGAGTCACCCAGGCAAGGTCTCAACCACTGAATTCCTCCATTCTTACACACACACACACACACACACACACACACACACACATACATCCACCTGATGCTAATTAATTAGCTCTCTTCCTAGTATTTTATCTTCTATAGTTTTCATCTTAAATGTGTCCCAAGGGCCCATATGTTAAAGACCTGGTCCATGGCCTATGGCATTATGGGAAGATGGTTGAGTCTTTAGAGGTGGGGCCCAGAGGAAGTAAGTTAGGTCATTGGGGATTACACCCTTGAAGGGAATATGGAGACCCCGGGCCCTTCCTGCCTGACTTTGCTTCAGGCCACCACGAAGCAGAAACTCCTCTGCCACACACCCAGTATGATGTACTGTTAGCGTATAGTCAGCCTGCTTCTGAGTTGCCTAGTAATCTATGATGTCATCATGTGTCACCCACCAGGTGTGTTGCCATCGAGGTTCAGCTGTGCATGCACAAGCTATAAAAGGACCAATCAGCCACTTGGCCTCTCTTTTACCTTCCTCTCTCACTCTCTTGCTCTCTTCGCCTTGCTTTCTTTCCTGAGGGTCTTCCACCATCTCTCTCTCTCTCTCCTTTTCCTCTTTATTTCTCCACCTCTACCCAATAAATCTCTGTTACATAATACCCATTGTGTGCTTTGCATTATTTTAAAATAAATACTAACATACACTATGACACTACACCCCCAAAGCAACATGGCCAGAGAACCTGACTCTTCCGAAGGCAAGATCCGTAACAAACTTGTTTTATATGTTGAAAGTCTCAGCAGCAATGGCAAGCAGACAAACACACTCTTGTGGGTCCTGCCTTACAAGACTAGTGGCTAAAGTGACCCGTCCATGTTTTTGTTTTTGTTTCTGCATGATTAAAGCGCTCTGCCCAAAACATCAAAATCCTTTTGCCAAATCATTAGAATACTTATGCAACTTTATGAAATAAAGTTGCCCCACTCTACAATTGAAAAGTAAAACCAAAAATAAGTAAAGAGGAAGGGAGATGGACAGACAAATAATAAATAACAAGCATAAGAGATCATAGATAGATGATAGAAAGATAGATTGGTATATGGTAGATAGATAGATAGATAGATAGATAGATAGATAGATAGATAGATAGATAGAT